GCTGATGAACAAGGAAGGACACATAGCCACATGTTCAGGCAATGAATATTATGCCATAAGGGAAAGTTATACACAACATAATTAAATATTTAAAATACAGTGCTAAGTGAAAGAACATGACGCTCTGTGATTTCATTCACCTGAAGTCCTAGAACACACCAGCTACCTATGGTAGACAACAGAGCAACACAACCCCGTTGGGAAGCGACAAGGGAGACTGCCAGTTAATCAGAAGGTGTTGGCTTTTAACCAAATAAAGGAATAGCATACAATAAGAAGGAACTAGCTACTCTTTGGTTTCCTTTTATAGAAAAGGCACAGCTAATTTAAAAATCATTAACAGCAAATTACACTGAAATATGACAAAATGATCAAATGATTGATATGGATGTCTCAGAGCAGATAGCAAGGTATCATCAGAGTGTTTTCTGCAGGCTGTGCCTCCTTTTGAGTCTCTGCTTGCTGCCACTGTCAGTACCCGTGACCGGAGTACAACAAGGCGCACAGTCTAGTTATCGTGCAGCAGAGGGGCACAGACAGGCTTGCAACCACTGACTTATATAACTCAAAGATTCCCTGCTTCTCTGTTACTGTTAAAAAGCACACTATCTATAGCTAGTTTTCTACATTCTTTTCCACATCCGTAATTCTTGAATGGCAATGAATCGATAATAAAAAATTCCTCATTTGCAAAATAATGGGAAAATATCAGCAAGGTACTTTAGCATCCCCAGGATGCCAGAAAGTTCCATTACACATGCACTGAGAAAGGGAAGGAGGAAGTTTGTCATGGCCCATCTAAGTTATATTTTAGCTTCATTTTTTTCTATTTTTATTTACTTATTTATGTGTAAGTGTACATGGATATGTGAGTGTGTTCGTGTGGTGGGGGAATCATGTCTGGGAGTCCCTTGTGTACACGTGTAGGCCAGTGCTAAACCTTGGATACCATTCACCTTATTTTTGGGCAAGTCTCACTGATCCTGGAACTCATCATTTTGGCTAGCTGCTGGCAGGGGTTCCAGGGATCTGCCTGTCTCTCCAGTGGTGAGTTTACAGTTGTCTGCTGCTGCCCCCAACATTTTTACATGGGTTCTAGGGCTCCAACTCAGGTTTTCAGGCTAGCATGTGAAGAATTTTACCAAACGAGCTGTTTTTGTTTTATATATATATCTCCTTTGGATCTAAGAAAAAATACAAACTTCTCTCTCCTCCACTGTTCTCCATGTAGAGCAGTCTTCTTTGAAAGCCAGGGACAAAATGAAGCAGCATCAGTCAAAGCCAGCTTTCAGAGGCAGAAGAAGTGGATTTCCCAGCAGGTCCTGACCTGAGGGGACGGTTTCTGCCAGCTGTGTTCCACTTCCTGGGCCTGTCCACACGGGAAGGTGGACACACAGCTAAGGCCACAGTGCCAACCCCTCCTTCCCCCAGCCTCAACACTCCCACTTCCCCCCAAAAAGCACATCTTAAGAAACTCCTATGAAAACCTCCAAAATGCAGAAAACGCTGTTTGGGGCAAACTTTTAAATTAGTCTTTTGTGGTTCACATGAAGTTCTTTTTCTGGGCAAGATGGCCCATGCCTGTAGTTCCAGGGACACAGGTGGTGGGCACAGGGAGATCCTGAGTTTGAGGCCAGCATGGACTACTGCTGGCAATGACAGCCCCCAACTGAGCAGACTGAGGGAGGGTGGGGCTTTTGTGGGCAAGTTTGGGAACTTAGAAATGGAAACGCCCTACTCTTACTCACACAGGTGAACATTCCTCAGGAGTGTGAATGATGTGAAGCCCTGTGGAAGTTACAGGCTCCGTGTGGCCTGCTCCAGCTGCTTTGATATACTTCGAATAAGCAGCTGCTCTCCTAGTTCTTAGAAAAGAGGCTCCGGGGAGCAAGGGCATCATGAGAAGGACTCTGCAGCTAGACTTGAGAAGGATAAAAGTTGATTCTATTTTAAAAACAAAATAGCGCGTGGCTGCCATCTGGCCCGCAATGCCCGCTGTCGGGCTGCCTCCTTGCTGTCTGCAGAACACTTTACAGCTCATGGATTGTTCCAGAAATCCATGAATTGGATTTTCCTGTTTCACACTACACAGTGTTCTAGGCAACCTTACCTACATTTTCAACAAAGCAAGTCACATAATTACCTAGTAAAGAAGCAAGAAGCAAAACCTTATTTGAGGCTCAACCCAGCTTCTGTTTACACACTACTATGCATGCCTTACATTCCTTTATGGACTGGCCCTCAAACTCTCTACATGCTGAGGATGACCATGAACTTTTGACCCTTCTGCCATTGCCTGCTGGGCACTAGGATTATGGCGCTCGTCACCACACCTGTTTTATGAATCACCGGGGATCCATTGGCAGGCTTGCCCGTGCTAAGCAAGTGCTCTACCCATCCAAAACTTCATACATAGATCATCATCCACAACTCATTATTTTCCTCAAGCATGTAAAGCAAATTACTGCTCCTGTATCTGTCTGTCAAGTCCTTTCTTCCAACAGCCTGAAGTTCAAAATACTAAAAATAGAAACTAGATATTTTTCCTGGCTTAATAAATTATAACTTCGTTTTCATAACACAACAATTCTGAAACATAATGGATACAATGCATTGAAGTTTGAATTCTTTCTATGCAATGAAATAATACTCATTTTAAACTTCTCAGTTGTAAATTAGGAAGGATAATCTTAAAGGTTTCAAGTAAGGAACATTAATGAGAATAATTTCTATTTGCCAGTGATCTCTAACAGATGGTTTCCAAATGAATCCTACAGAGTTAATGTATAATGACATCCCATAGATATGCTACACAACATTAATAATGAATCACAGAAATATACCTAAATTCTTATCAAACAAGGTAAGAAAATGTTGAAAGGATAAGCTCATAGCTAAGAAATAATACTTGTTTGCAACCAAATCCCTCTTTTAATAGATTAATGGATTAAATGAGACAGCTTTTTTTAAAAAAAGCCACATTAGCTCTATTTCCTTAATTTGTATCCCAACGTATTCATTTAGTATAAGAGGGATATTAACATGAATAATTTTATGACAGTTTAGAGTTTTTAAATTGATTTGTTTTTGTTATTTCTCTCTTCCTAAGAAGAAACATCATGTTTAAGCTCCAAAAAATAGAAAGTTAATAATTGTATTTTGCCTAATTAGATTAGGCGAAAAATGCAAAGGATAAAACTTGGCAAAGAAAATGACAATCTTTGAAGGAATTTTTCCAAATTAAGATGTTTTCTACAGAATTCTCTTTTGAATCTGCTGTTTTTGACAACTGCAGCTCTAACTCACTACAGCACCAGGTACTGCAGCAATGACCTAAAGACGTTCATCAGTCGCTCTTGATGCTGTTTTCATTATTGTAGCTAATAATTCCTGGCACAACTGTCCAGACGCACAGGGAGATCAAACTCGCTTGGCCAGCAGCAAGGATCAGATGAGGACTCCAGAGACCACGATAGATGTCTGCAGGACAATGGTTCACATTACCTTATTTGTAAGTCACAAGAAACTGCACTTCATGAATGTCTTTATATGTAATCCGTACAGTTGTCTATGAGTGGATCTTCACAAAGGCTCAGGTTTAAATGGCTAACATATAAGATGCCATGGAGACACTGCTGCCACTATGGGGACAGCCAGAGCAATGCTTCTGGGGACCAGTGAGACCAAAAGACTGAGGGGGCAAGAGACGACAACAGACATGTTCTCAGGATGGCGGTCCTGAAGGATACTGTTTTTGGAAGTCTGAGCATGGAAAAGGAGTTAGTATAAACCCAAGCTCTGCTTCACAGGGGAAAGGGCATCCAGTTGAATATGCTCCAAAAGAAAGTGATGATAGAACTTTGAGGGAGGAATCAGAGAGGGTAGGAGACATGAGGTGTGAGCCAAGAGGAAATCACAAAGGCAGTACCCAACATGCTGGGCGGGACCACCAACAGGGTGCTTCTAAGTCATGGGGGTATACAGTGTCCTTCATATAACTACAAAATATTTAATAAAATTGTCATTGATTGGGTTAATTAAAAGAACCAGAAGAGACACAGGTTCATGTCTAGGTGTCATAGGGACTGGAGTCTGGCACCTGCTGATGTCTGGAGACAAGAGGCCAGTCTATGTTTTCTAGAACATAATGAACATAAATATATACAAACACATTAGAAAACTGCAGTTTGAAATTTGTGCTTTTTTATTCTATGGGGAACAGTCCTAAAAATGGGAAAAAAAAAACTAACTGAAATATTCAGAAAAGCCACAGATCCTTGTCAGTCTATTTTTCACTTGAAACCCATAAGCACATAATGCTGATAGAGATATTCTAGAAAACCGCACCATCAACACTGACACTTGCCACAAGAATAAGGGAGAGCATCACCTTTATAACTACTGCATGCTGGGAAAGTAATATCTAAATAGAGAATAATAATGACATCAGCCTGCTAAACATTGTGTTTACAACCAAAATTATTTAACAATTATGCACTGAAAACTTATCCTATAAAATCCAGTAAATGATAACTATGTACCTGGTTGGAAGATGAGGGATTTTTATGAACAAGAATAGACTGGAAATCTTCCCATCATCCTTTTCAGTTTATGGACCTTCAAACAGGAATAGGGATTGTCCAAGCTCACACTGGCATAAGTTGAAAGGCCATGTATTAGCCTAAGTCATTTGGCTCCTTGTTTATCCCTTAACATCGTGACTCTAAAGCTCAGAGAATGTGGCTAATGAACATTCGATGACAATCCTCCTCTGATCTGGGTATGGCTCATCTCCCACTTGGAAGCCCAGCCCCAGTGTGGTAGTTTTAGAAGGTGGTAAAACCTTTAGGAGAGCGAGTCTCCTGAGCTTTCCTTCAGTGATATTGCCCTCAAAGGGATTAGGAAGCTCTTGTGTAGCATCCTTAGTTCTTGACAAAAGGTTCTTTTTTTCAGTTTTTGTGGTTTTATTTAAACATAAATAAAACACATACGTAAACCATCTACTCGTTTTCTTCGCTGCGAAGCCTGGCGTTGGGGTTGGTGACTCTGACGGCCAGCTGTGCTGCTCTTTCCACAATGGCTTTTCGGTTCTTGGAGGAAACGTTGTGAGCAATCTCAGCACAGTAAGATTTGTTACACAGCAGCACTTCCAGCTCCTTGACATTGTGGACCAGAAACTTCCGGAAGCCACTAGGCAGCATGTGCTTGGTTTTCTTGTTGCTCCCGTAACCAGTGTTAGGCATGAGGATCTGGCCCTTGAATCTTCTCCGCACCCTGTTGTCGATACCTCTGGGTTTCCACCAGTTTCGCTTCATTTTGACATATCGGTCTGACTGGTGCCGGATGAACTTCTTGGTCCTCTTTTTGACGATCTTGGGCTTCACCAGAGGCTGGAGGGCAGCCGTGATACCGCTAAACAGATGGCCGACAAATGTCTCTTATCATGAGCAAGCAGACCCCTGAGTGGCTCTCTAGCTTCCTATTTTACCCTATGACCTCTCTTCCCACCAAGATCGCATTCCCCACAGGCCTGCATCAGATCCTACACCAATGGGTTATTTCATTTTGAGTTTTTAGCCTTCAAAGCATTGAGAATTTTGTTATAGCAACAGATAACAGACTAATACAATACTTCACTTATCGTAGATATTAATATATTCATGGGAAAAAGAGATAAATGAGCAACAGATTACTCTCTCTCCAGGGAAGCTGTACAAGATAGAATAATAAAATGAGTCACAAGGCCTCAAAATGCTATTTTCCCCATTAATATAAACAAACAACACATGCTAATAAGAATATGAAAGCAGAAGAGAGGATTCAGGGTGGGAAGAAGGGAACTATTGGGAGGCAGGACAGGGGGATTATGAAGTTTGTCTTCACTGGCAACATGACAGGATATAGAGTCAATGTGGAAACACACCTTTGAGTCTTTCAGTGAAGTGTTTCTAGAAAGGTTTAACAGAGGCGTGAAGATCCACCTCGAATGTAGGTGACACCAGCCTGTGAGCTGGGGTTCCAGGATGAATAACTGGAGAAAGCAAGCTATCACCTCCATTCATCTCTCTCTCCTTCCTGAGAGACCATCTCCCTCAGCTTTCCTGCTGCTCCTAGATCAGTGCTGTTCCCTTGAGTTACTTTGGCCATGTAAAGAGAAGAGAAGCGAATCTAGATGGAGCAAACGAGAAGAGGAGCTGATACAGACAGAGGTAGGAAGGGATCACAGAGAAGAAAGTACACACACAAATGCCTTAGTGAGATCCATTACTCTGTTTGCTACTCTAAAAACAACTAAAAGAACATGTTACTAAAAATGAACGTAATTTTAAAATGGCATATAGAAAAGTACCTATAGAAAAGTACATTTTCCTCCTATTTGTCAAACTCTAGGGTTTTATAAATGCAAAGGAAACTACATGAAATGCCTTAATATTTTAAGTCACACGCTGAGCTTGGGTACCTTAAAATGTCAACAGATCTATGGTCCTGTCGGAGAGAAAGTGCCTCCTGTGTCCTTCTGAGGCCCTACACTTCTCAGTCTCTTTGCTTGGACTCCTTGTCACCCCATCTGGCTGCTCTGGGCTTTTACGACATTGGTGGCCTTATCCATCTCTATTCTTATTACTCTGCAGCTTGTCACTCTACATCAAATCTCTTCAGATTATTAAATCCCGCTGCCTACCCATCACATCCACTAATGTCTTAAATCTCTGACAAGCTCCTCCAAGTTACATTCCACAAACCTATGTCCTTCTCTACAGACCTGCAGCAATGTCTTCGGCTAGCTAATGGCTACTGTCATGCTCCAGCTACTCAAGAACAAGCCTTGGAGTCAACTCCTTTGCTCCAATGGGCAAATGCAGTCAAGCTTACCGTCATGGATGTGGCCACATCTTAGCACCACCACCTCTACCACCACTGTCTGAGTAGTCACCAGGTGAAATGCCACAATGGTGTACTAACAGGTTTCTGTGCCTCGGTCCTTGTACCCCAGAACCTCACAGCAGCCTCAACAATCTTGTTATATGTAATTCAGACATCACTCATTTGGAAAACTTGAAATCTTGGAACAAATAATCTAGTTCATACTAATGGCCCACGTGACAAGACCCTACTAATCACCTCACTGCTTATCTGACTATCCACTCACTTAACCAGATATATTGGCCTCCTGATGACTCTGGAATGTGTCAAGATACCTGCTTACAACAGTAGTACCTAGCCAAATGCTCATTCTGCTTGGATGGCTCTTCCTACAGATGTTGCAAATGCACTGGAACCTGGGCCCAGCCATCCACAGGTAAATACCTTCTTCTTTCACACACTCCTGACATGACTTTCGGCCTCACTGAAGGCCTGCAATGGGGCCCACCAACTGTGGACCAACATCCCCCCTCTTAAAACTGTGAGCCAAAGAAACACTTCTTTCTTCTAAGATTACCTCAGATAATTTATTTTAGTAACAGAAAGCTGACTAAAACACACACACCTTCTTTACCTCTTGGTGAAGACTGCTCAACTGTCAGCTTTTTTAAGTCCTCCACTGATTAACCAACCACCCCTTTAAAAGCAATATCTTGAGTGAACACACACATACACATACCTCTACCATATTCCATCATCACACATCACATACAACAGATACAGTCCAGCATGCACACATCATGTACACATGCTCCAGCATGCATACACACATAGATATAGACATATTTCAGCATGTACTCACATACATACTGAAATGGCATACTCCACATGTGTGCACTCTCCCCAACCCCCACACATACAAACCATTCATAATCCAGAATCACCAATGCCTATTTCCTATTTCTATTTCACTTTTGGTAATAAAAATTTAAAATGTGGTTACTTTCTTTAATGTGTGTTGCTGTGGGATGTTCTGTATGTCAAATGCTTTGCTCTGATTGGTTAATAAATAAAACACTGATTGGCCAGGAGCCAGGCAGGAGGAAGTATAGGCGGGACAAGGAGGAGAGAATTCTGGGAAGTGGAAGGCTGACTCAGAGAGACTACCAGCCGCCGCCATGACAAGCAGCATGTGAAGATGCCGGTAAGCCACAAGCCATGTGGCAAGGTATAGATTTATAGAAATGGGTTAATTTAAGATATAAGAACAGTTAGCAAGAAGCCTGGCACGGCCATACACTTTGTAATCAATATAAGTCTCTGTGTTTACTTGGTTGGGTCTGAGCGGCTGTGGGACTGATGAGTTACAGAGATTTGTCCTGACTGTGGGGCAGGCAGGAAAACTCTAGCTACAGTGTGTGTTTTACTTTCTTGTTTGTCTGATATTGGTGTAGTGAAAACAGCCTGTGTAAGCTCATAGAAGCCCACTCTTAAAATTTTCAGGCATTTTGCAAATTGCTCATTAATGTAATGCCACCATTACAAATATCTTCTATAAATCTCCAGTTAATTATCTATAACAACAATAGGCAATGCACATGTAAAAGACACACTTTCTTAATTATCACTTAATTGTTATGTGTGTCTATAACATCACAGATGCTTACTTCACCAGTGTCAGGGGCATGCTGTTAAGCTCTTCCCAACTTTGCATTCAGGAGCATCAAATCCGTAGCTTGAGATGGGGTGTAGTGGGAATATTTACACCGTGGAAACGAGCAAACACTAGAAAGTAGAGCTTTCTGTTCCCACAGAGTCAGGTGTTGAGCAGCAGAAACAGTCTCTGGCACCGCCCAGCTCTCCTGTGCTGCCTCTCAGAGCTGAGTACAGCAACCAACATTGAACTAGCACAAAAATATTCATGGGATGAAAAACGGATCTCTCCAAAAGTCACTTGCAGAAGTCTAATGAAAAGGTGCTGCAAAGCTGGATAACATTCTCATTTCAGAAAACACAGTTTTATGCAAAACTCTCCTTATTAAATAATGCCACATTAATTCAAATAAATGTTTCATAAAATGATGATTCAACTCAGCTACAGCTGGCGTCTATCCAAACAAATAATCAGACATTCTAAGTTGATACTTTCTTCCTTGAGAGTTCTGTTTAGTTTTACAGTTCAGCAAATTTGCAAAAGGCTTTGTATGTGTGTGTGTTGGAAAGCATATGCCTTTAACTAAAGATCAGTTGCACAATTAAATACTACTGCAGATAAAAATGCTTTTTTCTTATTTTGATAACAATTCACCTTTGAACTACTAGAAACTATAAGCACAGACAACAAATGCATCATTAACCCACAACAAATAAAATCAATGCCTTCTAAAAGCAAGAAATAGCAAGTGGTCTTCTTAATTACTTGTTTAAATGACCTGGGGATTTTATTTTATTTAATTTTTTTAACCAACTGAAGGGAATAAGCCATACACACTAAAATGAGATAAAACATGAGGGTTAATTTACTCATGATAGGAAACAGTTCAGCATTTAGAAACTTTTTGGGCTACAATCCAATGCCGTTTATCTTTTGAGCACAAAGCAGATTTCTTGAAATCCTTCAATACACACACACACAGAGTGGGGGGCAGAGAGAGAAAGAAAGAGGGAGGGAGGGAGGGAGGGAGGGAGGGAGGGAGAGAGAGAGAGGAGAACTGGTCCCTTTAAAAATAGTTGCTTACAAATTTAAGCCTGCTTCACTCTTCAAATTTTGATGTATGAAAGTACTTTTAAATTATCCACTGAATTTTATTTGTGAAGAAAAAACTGTACCTGCTATGGTCCTTCACAGATCTTGTACACAATTGCAAAATGCTTTCATTAATATTTTATAAAAGCTAAGGTAGCTAAAAAATTGTAAATTTAGCAAAAGTACAAATGTAGCAAATGCTGAAGTCTGAGGATAAAGCTATGTGGATGATGTTACTGGCCCTTCTTTAATCATGAAGAGACGGAATTCCACCAACTTATCCAAGTCTGCACAGATGAGTGGAAAGAACGCCCTCCAGAGTCTGACTGAACCGTCTGTCTGCTCTTTCCATAAACCTTTGAGATTCCGAATGGTTTCATTATCATGTTCCAAACTTGGTTTGCTCAGCAGTTTTCTCTGCCCTTACCTACTCCAGCGTGGCTTTCCCTATTCTTGTATCTCACACAACGATGGTAAACACAAACTTAAACATTATTCTCTCACTAAGTTTTACAGTAAAAACTAAGACTCCCCAAATCTTACAGTAAGCCTCTCTTGCAAGCTTGGGCTTTCCAGGTTTAAGGCAGCAGCTAAGGCATCTGTACTAAGCTGTGTCTTCCTAGGAGGAAGACAACAGGAGGGTGCCCTTTGCAGAAGTCCAGAGGATTCCAAGTTCTCTTTGAAAGGAAAGGCATATTTTAAAAAGATTTATATTTATTTTATTATTTGTGTGTGTGTGTGTGTGTGTGTGTGTGTGTGTGTGTGTGTGCACTCACATGTGTATAGGTTCCCACACAGCCCAGAAGAGGGCGTCAGATGCCCTGC